TGCCGCACATAAACCATCTGATCAAACTCACTCTCAGGTACATCTGGCCCTGCCCTCCGGCTGTCCCGCTAAGCAGCACCGATTGGCTGATTGTGGATGTTGCTGAGGCACCCATTGGACGGCTGCTGGTTGTAGACCCTGATCCAGATGTTACATTGACCTGAAGAACAGGAACGTGCGTCTTTAAGATTCTTTGTGGCTCGAATGAAAAGAAGCGCTACTGATTTTGTGGCATAAAGAGCTATCGTTTCTGTCTGATTACGTACTGCGGTTGTGCTGGTAGTCTGAGAAGAGCTACTGCTGGAGGGGCTTGACTGACGACTGGCAGCCAGAGTGGCCTTAAAAAAACAAAGAAAGTAAAACGAAGAAAGGGAAGAGACAGAGAAAAAGCAGCTTAAGGTTTCAATAAACTCCAAACAAAATGAAAACTGAGATGTTTACAGAGGCTGTTGTGTGGTTGATGCAAAATATGCTCAGCTTTGTTTCTGGCCACAAAGCCTCCATGTTTTACAACCCACAGCTGTCCAGCATCGACTGCAGACGTGGCCTCCCCACCTTTTTCTTCTGCTTGCATGGGATGCATGCAAGTAGGTGGCACAGACGCAATCAATCCGCCTCATGCAACGCTGTTACAGCGTCATCAAGCATCATTTTATTTCTTACAACAGTTTGTCTTTGTGCTTTGCAAACAACACGTGCAGGATGTTTATAACTTCCTTTACTTGAAAGAAACAAAGTGAAATGTGGAATTTGCACACACCTTTACCTGTTGCACAGCTGCCAAGTTCTGCAGCTGTGCTGCGTTGTTGATCTGCTGCTGCAGCATCAGCTGCTGGAAGTACTGAGCGGCATTGGGCTGCCTCTGTAACGCCTGCAGGGCCTGGAGGGAGGAGCAGACGGCCAAAAATGAAAACTGAAGGAGGGACAGCATTTGGAGAAGGAGAAGAAAGCAAAAAAGGGGGAGGGAGGAACGGAGCATGAAGGAAGTAAAGTGCTGTGAAAAGACGGGGATGGAAAACATGACAGCAAAGAGTCCGAAGAAGACATGAAAGAGTGAGGGATGGGAGAAATTTAGGATGGAAAAGGAAGTGCAGAGAAAATTGAGGGGATAGAGCAGGCCGAGAGAAACGAGTGCAGAAGGAGCAGAGAGAGAGCGAAGCTGCAGAAACCTGCCAGCTGCCTGATGTATGAGGGGAGGCTCGTACAGTAATAAGTCGGTGGATGAAAGCGAGCGCGGCGGGCTGGATTAGTGTGTGCCCGGTGACAGAGACAGATGGCCGTGCAGGGTGACAAAAGCCTGAGAAAATAACACCCAGCCTCCATCACACCCAGCACGACTCGGTCTCTTTTCTTTACCCCCCCCCATTCAGTCAGTCTTCATCAGTTTCTGTCCATCGGCTAACACATAAATCAGAAATTATAAAGACAAATGAGCCGCACACACTTTCTGCCCCTGCTTACACGCACACAGTCCATGTTTACGCTGCAGCCAAAAACACAATTTGGACACGAAAATGCAAATTAATCATTTTCTATTAATTTTTATTACAATTTTGTTTACTGGCAGGATTATAAAACGCTCCGCCTACATCACAGTGAAGGTTTTGCTCCACTGAAACTGAAACGAGTTTTAAACTATGCAAAGGACCAAACGCACCCACGAGTCCCTTTTTTAAAGTCTAGACCTGAATCTAGACCTGTATATGTGCAATCTAATCCCCAGGCATGCAACCTACTTTTAGCCCAACAATAACAACTCAAAGCAGAACAATGCCCCGTGCTGCCGGGCTATCACCCTCGAGGTATGGTTCAAGTGTGAAAACAGCGAGATATTAAAGATGGTAGGGGTCATTAAAAGCCACCCCATGAAGATTATGACCACTTCCTACTTGAGGAGGGGGCGGGGGGAATAGTTTTTGAGGATGAGCTCTGGTTTCTAATCAGGGATGTCTCCCTTTTTTCACATTTACAAACAAAGAAACGCATTTCCTGTCGAACAAAACTTACATTTTTAAGCATTTTGCCTTTTTCCCCTCTTTGTGCACAACAATCCTGGCACACTTGGAATATTACTGAGGCGCACAACTGTGGAAATCCAGTTAACTAACATGTGTGTTTTTAACTGTTAAACTAAACTGATCTTAACCTGAATCCTAAAGTGTGAACCGAGCCTTTAAAAGGTTTTTCCATGAAGTGACGACTCAGTGTCAGCGTGTGAAAATCAATGTGGTCTGATCCTGTAGCCACACAGGTATAAACACTCACACCTACCTGGACCGCCTGCCTTTCATACAGAGACATGGAATTCATGGGAGAGGGGCGGGAGCTCGTCCCAGACGGAGCGCTTCCATTGGTCGAGGCCCCCTGCTGGTTCTGCTCTCCGTCTGTCTCCATGGCTGCTGAGGAGACAGATGAGGCGTCCGTCAGTCAAACACAGGATGAAACAAACACCACTTTCTCCCTCTGCGAGAGGCTGATGGATAGAGGAGGAGAAAAACCCCACAGCTGTCACGGTTCCTGACAAACAGCAGACCTCACCGAGTCGAGATGCTGTGAAACACTTTTTACAGCGTGGATGACTGATGTAGTTCTGCTGCTGGTTATTTTTAACACTTTCAACATTTTAAAATGTTTTCATTTTTTATGGCAGTAAATCACAACGACTGAGCGTCTCGCTGACAGCTGTTTCTTCCTATCGCCACCGTGGAGACGGACACAATGCTCCACAGACCAGTTTACACCTTTAAAGGGCTTCAATCAAGCTTTTCCTTTTTTCTGTCACACACACACACACACACACACTATAACGGATGGATTTAATATGGACGTTCATATGAAAGATTACATATATATACTTGAAACTTTGGTAAAGTATATGCAGTTTTTTCCTGCTTGGATCTGTAGGATGTCCAGATAAGGGGACATCTCAGGTATACAGAAGCTCCACCGACCTCCTGTTCAAACCTTCTGCTTACGAGGGGCAGCCAATCAGCAGAAAGTTGACCTAAGGGGCAGTCGATGAACTGAGTAGCTTCACCAAAGCCCAATATAAGACCGACCCACCACATTCTTGTTTTACATGCTGTGGACAAGCTGCAGATTCAATTTTAACCCCCTCACACTAACCACACGTTCCAACATGCATCCTGCAGAGAGGAAGACTATGAAAGTATCTCTAAACTGCACGACTAAAATGATTAATGAAATCAGGTTGCATTTACAGATTTGCCAAATTAATGTAAGTCGGGCTGTCACAAGGATTGTGGTAAAAAAACAAAATCATAATAATAATATTCTTTACATATATGCAGAAAATGAGGGAAAAATTTGCAAAAAAAATATATCTGTCAAATCTATTCTTACTTAGTGTTGGGGTCATTTTGCAAATGCTTTAAACTCAAAATGCGAGAGCTGGAGGTGGAAAGGATTCTGCAACCATGCACAAAATTCAGTCATCTCTGATATTAAAGACGTGGATTTTTGACACAATGTTGCCGTCATCACCTTTATCATCAACGCATGGTTACTGTTGCACACTAATCTGTGTGTAAGAAAAAGCAAATATTTGCTGTAACACATGAACCTCAGAGTGAAGTGATAAAAGACAGAAGTCTGTGCATTTTCTTCTTATTTCTGACCATTTGATAAACAAAGGTGTATTTTATGCTTGTGTGAATTAAAGCTCTGCATTAGATTTTTTTCTTGTTCCATTTTGCACGTCTGGACATGCAGGAAACGTGTGAGGGGATGAAGATGGCAACTGTAAAGATATAATTAACTGTAACATGCAATTTAAAAATGCACATTCATTTCCTCTTTGCAACAGTTTATCATTTTAATCAGGTTATCTGGTTTAGGTAGGAAGTCATTATAAAACATCCATTTTCGGGGGGTCACAGGAATAAAACGGGGAAACGTGCTTTCGTACAAAGGCTCCTGCATGAGAAACATTTCCAAAAGCATCGCTCACACAGCCTTTCTGCATCTACTTCACCACCTTACAGGACTTGTTCAGACCAGGTGTTCACAATCATTTTTTTTTTTTGCAGTTTCCTTTATCACTGCTCCTCCTCCTCCAACCATCCTGTCCCAGCACCTACAGTCTGCCTCCGTCTCCAGCCTCCACCAGCTCAAAAACAGCCACCTGAGCAGCTCACACAGCGCTAACGTTAGCTAGCCATCCTCCATGTTTCAGACCAGTTAACACTGGATCCACCGGAGGCTACTCCTCCTAGCCTCCCGCTAGCCCCCCCGCCTCCACCGCTGCTGTCTGGCTCGTTAACGCGGCTCTCGCTCCGACCTTACCGTCACCGCTCCGGGTTCGTCCGGCTCCTCCTGCACCGGCTGCCCGCTGCAGAGCGACACCGAGCGATGCGACGATCCGCCGGGCTTCTTGTCTGCGTTGTGCCCGGTGCTGCTGCTCTTTTCGCCCGTCTTCTTCTTCTTCTCTGTGCAGGACGCTCGAAGCGGCAGCAGCAGCACTGATTTTACTGTTCTGCATAAATTTGCAGCTGATGTGTGGAAACGCCTCCTTTTTTTCTGCTCGGCCCTTTCCGGCGCTGCACGATGACGGAGCAGGACGGGGACAGGGGCTCACTTTACCCCCAAAGGCTTCGGGATCAACATGCTCAGCATGATCTCAAACTCTTCATGTTTCACTCGACACCAGAGTAGTTTTGCATTTTTCACAACTTGACATGATACTTGTTCATCCTGCACCTATATTCATCTGACACAAGGTGGTTCAGCTTCCTTCCCCTCCCTTCCTTCTGATTGGCTGACACTTAACAACAGAAGGTTTGAAAAGCAGGTGGGTGGAGCTTCTCTTCCTGAGATGACCATTTTAGGGATATCTTATCTTTATAACGTCATACTGATAAAAAAAAAAAAAAACCTGTCTGAAATCAAGTGTTTAGAGCAATAATATGAATGTCCACCAATGGAACAGGAGATATAAGGTATAATATATAAATATATATAACGAAAAACTGAAAAAAGATTCACCTGTCGTGCAACAGGCCAATGATCCCAAGCACAGCAGCAAATCTGCAGCAGAATGACTGAAAAAGACAAGAATCATGTGGTCCAGTCAATGGCCAGACTGCAGTGTCAGGACCTCAGGAGAGCTGTGAATAAATAAATGTCCACACACCTCAATGAACTGAAGCAGCGTTGTAAAGAAGGCTTTGCTGAAGTTCCTCCTCAGCCATGACTGATAAAGTCACACAGAAAACCATGACCTTAAGTTATTGCTGATAAAAGTGGCTCTCCGAGTTATTCAATCGTGGGATGTACTTACTTTTTCAAACACCACTTCTGCACTTAGGCTCAGTTTTTATTGAATAACTCAGAATAAATCAGTGTTTAGATATATGTATCCTTTTAAAGTCTGAACCATGAAATAATTGCCAGAAAATTCTAAAAAAAAAAAAAAGTCTTTTTTGAACATGGAACATTTATTGAGCCTCCTGACAAATAAAAAAAAAAAAAATTTGCATAGATTAGTAGATTAATTTGTATCATATTTGCTGCACCTTGTATGTTTTTTTTTTGCTCAATAGTGTATTGTGAATCTCAAAAACTCATAAAAACTGTATCAAATATGATACACTACATGTTAAGAGGATATTATAAACAAACTTTTATATATAAGAAAGATGGTCACACTGTGTGTCGTTACATGATGAATATTTTATTTAACAACATTATAACTGGTTTGTACAGTACAAACAAAAAAGGCTGGGGTGCATCACTGTTGTTGCACAGAAAAATGTAAAATAAAATAAAACCTTAAATCACCAGCTGGGTCTGTTTCCAACAAAACATATGATCAATATCACTTGGCTTCGTTTTTGGCTGCCACTCAAAGACAATGCATAAAGATGGCTTTTTGAAACGTGTCTAAAATAACACCCAGTCACTGCACTGCACACACAGTACAGATGTAACATTAACTAACCACAGCACGGCCTTCAAGTTTCAGATGAACCTCGTTTATTGTTACTGAGTAAACCAGCGAGTTCTTACTAACATACTGGAAGCAACGGGAAGCTTTCTCACAAAGACACACATTTAATAACAGTGAGAGAGGCACAAACAGCATTACAGTACATGACACTCAAACACCTATTTACACATCAACAACACACGTTAGGACCAAACCGACGGCGGAAACACAAACAGAACAAAGATCGCAGCAGCCAAAGTAAACTGCTGAGACCTGTTCCTCGGTGATAGATTCATATCTGTGACATTGCACGAATATTACCAGAACTGCTGGTTTAAAACACAAAAGCTTTGATAGTTTATTTTGGAATTTTCAAGTTGTAACAATATGGCTAAAAGTCCTAACCAAACTGAGCAGTGCTAAACACCTCTGAGTGTAATGTGACCAGGCACGTACAGCCGGTGGACAGCAGCGTTAGTCAGGGTTCGACTCTTACTCACAGGCAGACTGCGTACAATGTGCAAGGGTACTAGTTAACCAGTTAACACCCACCAGGCCTCAGCCGATCTGTAAATGATTAGGGCTGGGTTAATATCCACCACATTTCAGGAAGCTTTCGCTTACTTTACACCCAAAAAGGAAGCAGAAGAATAGACGAACTACAATCCAACACGGCCACCGGTGATCTGCTGGATGTTAAGAGCCAAAGAAGCAGAGTGAGCGATACAGTAATGACAATGTGCACCCCGAACGAAAAAAGGAACCAAACACACACACAATGGCCAAAGTCAACATATAAATAGTACTCTATTAAAAAATACATATTTACAAATTAGCAATTATACTATCTTTGTACAGTAAGTGGAAGGTTTTGAGGGTTTTGGGTTCGTACGTGTGCATAAAGTAGCTGTTGGGAGCAGTGTGAGCCCGGGTCCATATATCTGTTTTAAATCCTTTCAAATACATTTGGGATGCACTGCAGTCAATCAGGGTCGAGTTACCCCAAATCATTCAGGTTTTAAAGCCCTGTTGAAGAAGTTTTGCAAACTTTAACAAACAATATTCACTTTTCCACCACAGTTAGAATCAGAGGTTCTAAGTATACAAAACAGCTGTGAAAATACAGGTAATTTTGAATATTAGATACTGCACAGTGCTGTAATATTTCACAGCAGGAAACTGTTGTTGTAGATTACAGTAGGAACACTGTAAAATAACAGATTCATGCTTGCAAATACTAACTGGAATATTGTTACAGTGTTGTCTTGAAGGTTGCAAAAATCCAATCTTTTAAACATTTTGCTCCACTTGTTTCTCAACTCCAGCCCCGTGACCTCAATGCTGAGAGCAGTGGACTCAAATCTTGGAGGTATCCTGTATCACAAAAGCCCAACAGGGCAGGCTGTGTAATAGAAAGAACTTTAAATATCAGCCTCAGTGTTAGTGCCATCGAAGAAGCTGCGTGAGACTAAACAGGGTCGAGAGACTAAACACAACACTGAACACCACCGGCGAGGAGGAGCGTACCGCAGCCCTCCCTCAATGCAAGCACAGTACATGACCCACAAATACAGCAATGCACAACAAAGTCATGACTGCACAAACAATCCCCTCATTGCAAGAAATATTCCTCTCAATAAATCTTAAATCTCTCAAGTTCAACAGGTCTGCAAAGTTATATATTTCCACCATTTAAACGAGGCATTGAAAGAAGTCGTGTCCACACAAATATTCTTCCAGCGTACAATAATTACAATAAATTCATAAATTTATACATAAATCAATAAATATATCCTCGTTGTGCAGCGTGAGTGAAAATAGCTTTTTTCATGAAACTACAGGAATTCACGCGGTCACGACAGAATGTATAAAATATACTTTGTGTCACACATGTCTGCACCACACACACTGCACACTATTTGGAATACATACATCTGTAATGGCTGATGGTGCTACTCTTCAGACAAAGCGTCACAACGTTGGCAGGATCTGGACCCAAGCACGTAAAGCCAGACTCACGCCACACAGACGTGGTCTCATTTCTACAAATCGTAGTTGTTAATGTTCATTTTATTATTTGGGAATCACTATTAATGTATGAAATACACAGGACTGATTGTTGCTTATTAAGTCATTTAGCCTTACAGCTTTTGTAAGAATAAACAATTTTTATACTCTTACAGTATCGCGTCAAAGGTCAGTTTTAGTGCGTTTGGGCCATTCGAAGGATTTTTAAAGCATTTGAAGACATTCTTCACGTCACGTTAACAAATCTGACGCACGTATGGGGAAAAATTAGCAGAAATGAAGAAAGAAGAAGTTCATTTTGACCTGAAGGATGAAATAATTTAACGCACTTTCTCAGAGCGAGCTGAGATGCGCTGGAGGTTACGTAACCTCGGTTCTCTGAGTGTTCCCGCTTTAAAGAAAACTCCAGCATTCGGACCAGATATGTAATAAAGTCTGCTGGAAAAAAAAAAGGTTTTGCCCTCCAATCACTGGGTCCTGCATCCAGACCAGCTGCTTCCAGATGTTTTTTTGTTTTTTGTAGAATTAAAGCCCCAGTCAGTCCTTTGCAATTTCTGTATATAAATGAAAACAAACCCATATACAGTTTCATTTCAGAACGAAAACACAACACTAAAAAAATGTCCACTGTGTCATTTTCCCTTTGTGGAAAAAAGTCTAATTTAAAATAAAAGCCCATGAACCATCACAGACAGCTGTGTCACCCGTTATCCTTACAGTATTAGCACTTCCCCCTTTAATGGTCTCCGCCCATTCTCAGCTCACTGAGAGTTTAGGATTAAGATTGTACAATAAATGCACATTTGATGCCACTTTTATCTATTCTAACATCAGCTCTGACAGATATAAGTATCTGCAGGTAAATATAGTTTCGATTATTCTGTAGGTTAGACATAAAGCGCTATTGTGCTCGATGACTTCTACGATGCTGATTTTGGCTCTATTGCTTGCGTTGCTGCTTCTCTGGTTAACAAGGTGCATGAATGCATCTAAATCTCTGAGCTACATTTTAGTTGATGGAGACAGAGCTTATTGCAAACTCTGTGTCCCCCCTTGGGGCAAATCTGGAAAGCACTACAGTTCTTTGATAGATTTTTAACTATATACTCTATAGAAAAATCAGTTTCTAAGGTTATAAATACTATGATAATTTTCCCTTTAACAAAATAATATACATTGCACTCTACCCCACCGTAATCTACGTGTGTAAAATAATTAAAAGGGTTTTTGTTTACACAGTCCTAAAAATAATAATTCTTTCTATATATTCAGTGTCTATATAAACATTATATAGAATAATTATAAGTTTAATTCTCTGGTGAACGGAACATTTTTTGGAGTAAATTTGGGATTCATCACCAACTACATCAACTCTAAGATCAAAGATGAAGCAGAACCTCTGCAATTGTCAGCTATTACTGAAGGTGGCGCCAAACTCCAACTAAGCAAAGGCATACTAGATTACAGCTTTGACCATCTTATGAGCTTTGAGAATTTCTACAGTTAGCGTGACCTGTGCGGCTGTTAAATCCCCGCCGCG